GACTTCCTGATTAGCCATTTAAGTTATAAACCCTGGGATATTGTGTCATTCATGTTTTACAATTCGCCTGATGAGTGTGGCCCTGTGCTGTCTCTTATACACATCTCATATTGTGAAAAAAGTCATTTTTTAAATCAATTTATACTAAAAAGCATGTTTTAGGTTTACTAGTTAGAAACATATTGTGGAAAAAAGCTTTTTTTTTTTTTTTTATTAAAACCTTGGTTTATTTGTTATTAATACCGAAAAGCAAAAACACATAGATGAACTCCTTTGTTTACCTGAACTTTACCTGAAATTTCTTATGATTGTACAAATAATAATCTTCTTGACTGCATGAATGCCTAAAGGAAACTGTTTTTTTTTTTATTGAAAACCTTGGTTTATTCTGTCTAAAACCTTGGTTTATTTGTTATTAATACTTAAATTATCGATATAAAACATTTTTTAAACAGCATATTGTGAAAAAAGTCTTTTTTAAATCAATTTAAATACTAAAAAGCATGTTTTAGGTTTAATATTTAGAAACAATTTAGTTTCTTCCACATATCGCATCGCAAAGGAAAAGTAACAACATGAATGAAGATAAGGAGCCTACAATCCATCACATATTTTCGATGACCTTCTACACCAAGCCAGGGAACACAGGACCCCGCGGAAAAGACCTCAAATACCAACAGAGGGTGCACGTCATCGGATGACACTGGCCGATGACGAAATGATCTGAGATTAGGTAATTTACCTGATGAAGATACTATTTCGAAACTGGTTTAAATAGTACTGTAGTATTTAAACAAGTTTAAATATTAAAAAGCATATTGTTGATAAAGCATTTATTTAAATACTGAAAAGCATATTGTGGATAAAGCATTTATTTAAAAAATGAAAAGCATGTTGTAGATAAAGCATTATTTTTTATTTAAAGATTTTAATACTGAGAAGCACGATATACATAAACCATTTTGTTTTTAAACAGATTTAATTTCTGTGAGGCATGTTCTTCATTTAGCCACTTTTCTGAAACAGTTTTAAATATTGAGAAAATATTTAAAAGTTTTAAATATTTTTTTGTTAAAACAGATTTAAATACTGTGAAGCCTATTGTGGTTAACAATAAAACAAGATCGACTGCTAACATGTCTATAGTATGTTGTTTTGTAGCACTGTAAACAAAATTTTTGAAACCCATTCTTATAAGTCACCAAATCATACATTTCTACCAACCTTTAATTTTAAAACTAAAAATCAGTACACCCTTTTCAGGGAGTCGGACTGATATCGTGTTATAGAGGCCTATTGTTCACTGTTGCATATCTGTTGCTAATTAAATATTTCTTTCTATGACGACAAGTTGACACTAACTCATTCTTGCTATTGAGTGAGCATAGTTCTGGATGACATATAATTAAATACTTTTCATATAAACAAAGATTGCAGCGTTTAGTCGTGTTTGAATATGGCTTACAGCGTTTCACAATTCTCCACTTAACGGTAAATTCTACGTTAGATTCCTTAAGGGACCAGATATATTTACTTAGCTCTGTGCTGTTTCTCTTATTTACATTTCAAAATGAATTCATATGATTTCTAAATCTAGTTTTGAACTGGTTTTGAGTTAAGCCTATGTATGTCTCGTGCTTATTACTGTCCTATCTTGTTACAGTTGCTTGGTACACTATGCCTTCGGTTAAACACTTGCTGGGTAGTGGGCATTCGCTTTTTACACGGCAGTTACACGCATTTGTGCTAGTGTCCACAGCTTTGTTTTTTTCATTTGACAGTACTATTTTATTGTGATTGTTAATTACACTTTTTACATTGGGCATACAGCTGTAGCTTAGTTTTAAAGTGTTTTTGTTTATATGAAAAGTATTTAATTATGTGTCATCCAGACCTATGCTCACTCAATAGCAAGAATGAGTTAGTGTCAACTTGTCGTCATAAAAAGAAATATTTAATTAGCAACAGATATGCAACAGTGAACAATAGGCCTCTATAACATGATATCAGTCTGACTCCCTGATTAGCCATTTAATTATAATCCCTGGATCACACCAATAAACAATAGCCTTTGTAACATAG